TGTGCCAATTCTCAACATTCCATTCATTTACTTTAAACTTAAAGATCTGTGACTTAAACCTTAAAAGGAATGCAAATGCAAAATAAAAATCTTTCTGTGACCCATCCTTTGCCTGATCATTTACATGTTCAAATGTAACTGGCTTTCCTAGAGAAGTGACAAAATCATATGAACTTCCTACAAGTAATTTCCAGTGAAGAATATAATTTTAAAAGTGATTTTTTATTGGTTCCATTCACTGGAACTGGGCATTATATCTTTGGTCCTAACAATGTGCATATACCTATCTGTAAACCTTTTCAGCAGTGAGATAAATTACTGTGGAAAAGCCTGGAGTGTTTTTTCATCAGAGATCTTTAAAAAAAGGATTTATATCTACCTGCATGAGATGGCTCAGGATCAATAATGCCTACAGCACAACATGAATTTCAACTCTATGATTTGAAAACTATTAGAAGTATTCCAGTGAATATTTCTACCAAATAATCACTCATTCTTTAAAAACGAAGTGATATTACTAGTCTTATGAGACAAGAACTAAAAATTCAGCTATAATTGTTCTTACCAATAAAAGCAAAGAAAAATCTGGGCAATCTCATAAATCTTTTCCATGAGCACCTAAGTGAAAGGTAATATTGTAAGTAAATAGTATGTGGTTTGGAATTAGACTAACTGGGGTTCAGATTCTGATTCAACTATTGGCTAGCTGTGACCTCAGACAAGCTACTAAACTTCTATAATCCCCCATTTCTTCACTTGTAAACTTGAGGAAATAAAATCTAATTCTCAGGAAGGCTGTAAATATGCAATGAGATGGTGTATATGTGACATCTAACACAGTACCTAACAAACAGCACATACTCACTTAAATTCCTCCATTCTTTCTTCATTGTAAGTTTCCACTCAACTTTTTAAGGAAAAAGCCCCTGAACAGCAGGCATGAAGATGTCATTTGCAGGATGAAAGACCCAAATAAAGTGAGCGAGCACAAAAGAGGGCACAGGCTTTTGCATGTGTAACCTTTCCTCTGTGGTTATGACAGGGAGCATATCAGTAGTGCTGGTGAACAACTGAGTCTACTAGAGCAGGCACTTCTCAAACCTCCCTTTGTCCTGAATCCAGACATGCATCTGCATTATCCACTTTCATTCTGTTACTTAAAACCTATCTCAATCATTGTCCATTTCCTAGAAGAAAGGAAGAAAAAGTGGTGAGGAAAGGCAGAGGAAAACAAATTTTCCTTGATTTAATGCCTCTGCTTTCCACAGTAATTAACAAATATTCATTGCATTTTCTCAGTTTGTTTTCAAACTCATTCTCATACCCTTAAAATGCTAGAATACTAATACTGCCACTTGTTAAGGACATGTAATTTGTGCTTTTCTAGTCAGAATTAAAATGAGACTTCCTTAGTAAAAAATGTATTTGGAAGCCTCTCAGAGATACAAGCATACCCCTTTTGTGAGTAGCAGCTCTCACGGTCTGGGAGTGTTTCCTGCAGTTCTGTTCTTAATCTGAATATTTTACACACTTTGGAATTGAGTCTGTTGCATGATTTCTTTACACAGTCTTGAAATCATTATGTTGCATTATCTACTATATGTACATGCAGTAGGTTACTGCCCATTAGATGATTTGAGTGAATTAATAATAAAATCAAGTTTATATTTCTAGTTACACAGTTCACAGGATTCCCCAATATCCCAATAATAGAATACCAATTGGTAAAAAAAATCACATTTTTATGAATCATATCTGAAGAGTTGAGATTCTACAGAGGGAAGAATAAATAACCAGGAATATAGACATATATATGCACAAGCTGGAATGCATAAACCTTGTATATGCAGATAGAAAAATTTAAGGACTATAACAGTTATTTGCAGTCACTGTATTAAAATACCTAGGGTATTTCTGGGTTTTCCAAGTTAGTGATGTTCTTAAAAATGTGAATTAATTTGAATATAGTGAAATTATGTTACATCTGTTATAGATTACACACATATGTGGAATATATATGGCAAAAAACATGGCTATACTTATGGCTTTTGCTTTACATAATAGTCATTTCATTAGTGACCAGTATGCAGCTTTTAAAAAGAAATTTAGAAGACAGGGATAGACTCTAAGACATCTTTTGTATCCTGCTTAATGCCTCGTTGAATGTCCTGTACCACCTAGAAGACATATAGTGTCAAATGAATGGACCTTGGAAATACACTTTGTAAAAATAATATATATTTTCTTCCCATGTCTATATTTTCTTCCCATACATATATTTGGTCAATTGTTTTGAAGACAGTATTCAGGGGCACATAACATCCATTTTATCAGAAAGCCTTAGGCAGAAAGAAAGGGGACTTAGTAAAATACATATGATGTTGCTACTAAAAACTCTTGCCACTTGATTATTTTAAAAATTCACATTGTACAACCACCCACTCCAGCCTAAAACAGCACTTAGGTCATTTATATAGCTGATCTAGGATGATTTATCATTACATAAAAGAGAAAAAAATATTTAAAATGTATAAATAACTAGATATTATACTATACCCTAGGACACTGAGTAAGACAAAACTATAAACAGTTTATTTATAATACTGGTCTACAGTTGCACTACTATAACTTAAAATAAAAATTCCAGCAAATTAGATCACAGATAATACACGTTTTTATTTCATCAGTTATCATGCAGGTCATGATGAATGTGTCACATAATAAAGGAATGAACTGGTTATTTCAAGCAATCTTTCCAAGCTGCATTCTTACTTGTTTCTTTGGAAAGTAATAAGTTAATGAATAGGTGATACTTTCTATGATATGGATGTCCTTCACCATTAGAATCTATTGAATTCAACAATGAATGCATATTCATGAATGTGCTCTCTTCTCAAAACAGGGATTTAGACAGTCTACTCCATTAAACATAAGTTTATTTTTTCTTCCAGGTGTCAGCCAGGGAAACAATATTTTGGTCGGTAGCCTTTTCATGATGTTTGTCCTAATGGACACCACCTGGAAATAAAATCAACTGATGTTAAATGGAATAAATATTCTAAATCTCCACTCTGGGAAGGGTACTGTTAAATATAAAACAATATATACTTGAAAATATGAAAGAAATACAAGAAGTAATTTTGCCATATTTTGTTAGGCCAAGAGAGATGGGGAATGAGGTAGTAGAACCTATGTGTCTATATATATGCTAGATTTACACTAAGATTAATAAACACTTAAGCACTTTCAATGGTTTTGTCAGTGCAATGAGATACTAGGGCTAATGAATATGACACGAGTATGTATCTCCTTACAGACTTGTATACTTTGACAATCATTCTATTCTATTCAGCCTAGGTGACAACAATGATTATTAACAGCAGTGGCCATGCTTATGACAGTGGCCAAACTTCAGGGTGAAAGACTCCACAGGCAAAGATGAGCAGAGACGAGCTTTCCCAGCTGAGGTTACTCTGTACCTGTGATCTGTTAACTATCTGTAGCTACCCAACGGAATATTATAATATAGTCCAGTGTTCCACTCTCTAGAAAGAAGAGTCTCTGGTGTGCACAATTTGATAGCAGTAGGAATACAATGTGGAAAAATTTTAAGTGGGAAAATTTTGCTTCTGTTTTTTTTTTTTTAAGTTTTCCTCTGAAAGCTTGGTTTGATTGACAGTTCTTACAGACTGACCTAATGAACCTTCAGCCTGGGAGCCTTCACACATTCCCTGATAAGCAGGGAACCAAGTTTTACTATAGGCATCATCCCTAAGCTTCAGTGATCTGACTTAAGTGGCACAGCCTCCAAAGACCACTGCAAACATTCATTGCAGGACAATCTCAGCAGGAATGTTGTCAAAGTGATGTTTCAGCTTTTATAGTCCCTCTGTAAATCAGCACAAATAACATTGTTTCAAGTCAAGATTGCACATCTAATTGTGTATCCCCAGAAATATACATGGTTTTCACTAGGATTTTCCAATGAGGTAAATTATTGTATATGGAAAAAAATGTACATACACAGTTTATATGCAAAGTATCTGTTTATTCTCCTATAGACTAAAATATATTTTAAAAGATTTTTTTAATCAAGTGTTTATCTTATGGTTATTTTATTTGTTTCTTCCTAAACCATTAGAACCAGTTGATAAGTGCATAATGGGAGGATGAGGCATGAGGACAGGATAGGAATGAGTCAGGATTCTTATTAATGCCAAAGAACATGTCCTGTACAAAGCAAGTCCCTGGGTCACTTTTAGAAGATGGTTCTACATTGTATTTAGGTCTTAATGTATGATTCCATAGGAAAAGTATAAAAGCTAGTTTATTAGAAAGAGGGAAAACTTGTGGATTCATTTAAAATCTTTTTACAATAGAGTACTTGGTGCCTTGCTTTGGGATTAAATGAGGACCATGTTAGCATGTGGAAGCTGTAGTTAACATTCCAAACTTCAAAAACCACTTTTATGATGGACTTCTCATATCTTATATTTCTCAAAATAAGAAAAATATTTATTGCTCTAAATCTGAGAAAAAGGGTGTGTTCATCAGATTGCACTGCTTATGCAGAATTTTAATTTAAGATGTAAATTGTCTTTCATTCCTTTTAGAATCTAGAATGACTAATCCAGATGGACTAATTCTCTTTAAAAAAAAAGCAACCACAGAAATTAGGATATTTTAATACACAGGAGAAGAGAAAAAGTATATGCACTTTTATCAAATTACATCTTTAATAAAGCATATTTAATCTAATGATTTTGAACGTATCAGCAAGTACACATACAAACATGGGATGAAGATGTAGATCAATGGTGCAACGCTGGCTAGCATGCACCAGGCCTTGGGTTCAATCCTCAGCACTGCAAGAAGGAAAAGTACAAGCAAGCACACTCACACACAAATTCAAGCTCAACCCGTACTACAATAATACAACATCTAAATAGCAACAGGAAACCAGGCAAGCACCAACAATTTGGTAAATCTGTTTCACTCACCTTCAACTGTATCTTCTGGGGTTTTCCCTGATTCCTTGCTTTTGCAGAAGGATGGTTATAAACAAAATAAAACAACAACAACAACAACAACAAAAAACAAACAAACAAACAAACAAAAAAAAAAAAAACAGAAGCAACAACAAGGAACAAAGATTAATTAATTTGGCTGGTTCAGAAGGAGATCTGTGGCAAGGGGTTCTTCCCATTCTTCTAAAGTCTCTAAATTCATTTGCTTACTTTTAGGCACTTCATATTTTTTATATGTGGGCATAAGAGAAGTATACTGATCTTGGGTCACAGTAGTTGAAATAGATGGAATTGTTTTTCTTTTCTATAATTCAGGAGAAAGTCTGACTAATTTATTTTTTTAAATCTTCTACTTGGCTAACTCTACATTTAGCTCAATATTTGTATTTTGCATGATTCAAACCTTTTTGCTACTGTGAGCAATTTTTAAACAACCTTAGTAAGCTAGGTATGTCTTTTACAATGGAGTTGCTTTGGGGAGTTACAGAACCAATTCAATGATTCTATCACTGCATGAAATATTTGTGAATCACTTCTTTGGGATACCTTTGCAGTTTGCTTCATATTCTTTCTTTTTTTAGTTGTGAATGGACACAATACCTTTATTTAATTGATTAATTTATTTTGATGTGGTGCTGAGGCTCAAACTCAGTGCCTCATACTTCCGAGGCAAGGGTTCTAATACTAAGCCACAATCCCAGCCCCTCTTATTCTTTTCTTTTTCTTTTTTTTTTTTGACTTTTTAGTTATACATAACAGTAGAATATATTTTGACATATCATACATACATGGAGTATATTGTCCTATTCTTGTGGTTGTACATCATGTGGAGTTACACTAGTCATGTATTCATATATGAATATGGGAAAGTTGTGTATGATTAATTCTACTATCTTTCCCATTCTCATTCCCCCTCCCTTCTCCCCATTCCCCCCTGTACAATATGGTGGACCTCCACTCCCCACTCTGCCCTTTGTGAGTCAGCATCTGCATATCAGAGAGAATATTTGGCCTTTGGTTTTTTGGGATTAACTTATTTCACTTAGCATGATAGTCTCCAGAGCCATCTATTTACCAGCAAATGACATAAATCATTCTTCTTTATGGTCAAGTAATACTCCATTGTGCACATATATCACATCTATTATAATGGATATAATATAATATCCATTCATCTATTATAAGGCACCTAGGATTGTTCCATAGTTTAGCTATTGTGAATTGAGCTGCTATGAACATTGATGTGTCCGCTTCATATTCTTTGGATTAGTTCCAGTGACAGTTAATCTTTGACCTGTCATAGATCCAAGTATTGGGAAACATAAAACTATTTCAAAGCCAAATATGATAAATAAGCTGGGCAATTAACCTGTGAAATACTGTTTCGTTAAACAGTAGATGTAACTCTAAACACAGGAAACCATACTGGATTTCTTCTCTACTCAAATTGAAGGTATTTTAGAATATTTATTTGGACAAATTCTGGTTAGTTTGGTAAAAAAAAATTGATTATATGCAGTAAAATACAGATAAATGCATAAACATGTGTGTATGTGCATGTCTGCATATAAGTATGTGTGAATTCCAAAGTAGAACAAGATAGTGAACATATTTGGAAATGGAGGCCCAACACCTAATATCATTCTAATACTTGGTACACAGCAATTAAAATATTATCTGTGTACACAAAATGATGATCTATTTTGAAATATGTATTATGTTTTAAAACAGTATTAAGAGTGTTAAGAGTATGTGACCTTATTCTTGCCCTGGCTAAGTGGATACAGATTTGACACCTGACCAAATGGGACCAACTCCTCAGGCTGAACTGGGACAGTCAGAATCTGTCACAATAATTTGAACTCAGAGAAATCAATATTACATACAGATAGGGACTTGAAGTAAGGGTCATACTGAATCACAGCTATGGCAGCCATGTTCAAATACAGGAAACCCATTGAGAAAAAGAAGAATCAGAGATAAGACCATGGAAGGACAGAGAAAGCAACTTGTATTTTTAACTTTCAAAATTTGGTTCCAATCTAAGACACTTTATGGTCTGACTTTTGTTTCTTATCCTTAGATAATCAAAAGGTTGTCTGTTATATCACTGAATACATCCTCCTTCACTAACTTGTGTTGAATCTTCCTACTCATTTGAGTAGATTTCTATTCCTTGTAACCATACAAGCCTTAGGACAATGAAATTTGAAAATAATAAACTCTTCATGGAATGGCCAGAGAGATTAAGTGATTCACTCAGACTCATCCATATAGTGTTGGGTCAAGGACTAGAAACCAGATCTTCTAACTCAACACACAGCACTTATAAGTAGAAGGCGCAGGTTCCAAGCACAGACGCTGAATATATATGATGACATTGGAAATGTTACTTAACTTCTCCTTGCCTTGGTTTCCTCCACAGCAATAATACTTAACCTATCTAATAAAGTTGTTATGAGAAATAAAGTAGTTCCATAAAACACAAATAGTGATAGCTGACTGACTAGGGGAGGAAAGAGGGGAGCCATCTTAGGCTCATTAATGACATGGGGTTGTACAAAAGAACAAAAAAGGAGCCAAATAACATTTCTCTCACAGAAATATGGAATTGGGACTCAAGAGTCCTTGTCAGAAGGTAGAAGGGACAGTAAAGTGTCACCTCAGGCACTAGCTGAAAGGCCTGTGAACTCCTGCTGTGAAGGACCCCAGAGTCACCTTGCATAAATAGTAAAGATTCTATTTTCAGGGATCTAGGTCTAGATGTATGATACTTTCTGCTCTGCATTCCCTTGAGCCTCTCTCTGTATCTCTTCCATAAACACTCAATTTAAGTAGCTTTTTGTCCTTTGCAATCAGAAGAAGCTTAATTAAGTAAAATGTTTATTAATATTACCTTAACTTTTAGTATGAAAATGAAAAGTAATTACATATACAGGGCATAGACGGTAGGGGATGTCCCGGGCTTCCCACCTCAAACATATTTTCCTAGTGTTCTCAACCTTGTTTTCTAGCACTGTCAACACAAAAGTCTCATGTCTCTCTTTCTTGGTAAAAGTGCTTTATCACCATCTTAACACCAGGAATTAAATGGCACAGGTCTTAAGAACGAGTAATTAATCATTCTATATCCATTTAGCATCATTGGATTCATTTTGTTTAACATGATAGATAATAGTTTAAGCCAACATTCTTCCAATTAAAATGTGAAAATGTTCTTTACTGAGGTCCTTTACCCTTACAAGGCTAACCAAACTCTAGAGCATATTCTATAATTAGCATCCTGAAAACATTTTTTTAAATTGCAAAACAGCAACCTGAGCACAAACTAGAAGAAAAATAAGACTACTGCAAATTGTAAACAACTTCAGATGATTTACAGGAAAGGAATTCTACAAAGCTTCCTTAATGGTAGGATATAAACAGTTTTTAGTGCTATTTAGTTAAATGATAATTATAAAACTCATTGAACTGAATGAGAATTAGGATTGTCAGACAAATGCTTGTAAGGGGTTAATTAATTCATATGAACCACACAGCTCAGCTGAAAATGGGCTCATTATTTTAAGCCACCAACGTTGCCTGCCTCTTAGTATTGTCCTCCTTCCTCCATCTGATTCACCTTATTTCACCCCCACCTCTAGTAGCAAATGTCAGGAGACACAAATATTTAAAAGGAAATGTGAGCTAAAGGCATTTTGCAAGGGTACATCAGGGGTACAAATATGTCTGCTGGAATACTGAAATGGAAAGATCATTTATTAGTACACCATGGTTCATAACATCCCAAAGGGTTCAATATTTTCATTATGCACACAAACATACCCCCTCCTCCTTTTCAAATGCCTCATTACAGCTAAGCCTGGAGCTTTTTTCTTAAAAAGCTTTCCTCTGAAATTATTAATAATATGAAGTTCCCTACAGGCCAAGGGTATTATTACAGTTAAAATGCATCAATATGTATATATACTTATATACTCTCTTTTATGCTATTTTAAATAACAAAGTATTTAGTGGGAACAGTAAAGAATTTATAAGCTATATACAGAAAAGCCTAGAGGAAGATGGCAATATCCCAGACTCTAAGGAAACGGCTCTTGAAGCTTATTAGGAGGGTGTAGGAGACTGTAATAGGATTATGAGTTTTGGTTTAGCCTGTCCATCATTTCAAAATCCCCATAACTAAAGGGAATATCTTCATAGGGGTCTGCGTTTAATATTGAAGCTGCTTTATTTAATTCTTCCTATTTTATAATGCTGAGTGCTAATTAGTTCCATCCACTTTCTTCATGCTTGTCAATAAGGCAACTTGGAAGCCAAGAACCTGCTGAATTATGGATTAACCAGTTCTGTAACAGCATATTCAAGCAACCTAGTTAGCTACTCTAAAGTGTAATGGTATTACAGGCAAAGGGAGGCATAAAACACTCTTTTGTTATCTTCTGCTTAAGAGCAGAAAAGTCCTCCCAACAAGTAAACTGTTTATTTTCGATGTGTTAATGAACATTTTAAATACATAAATCTAAAATAAATAACATTTACTTTTCAGTGTGAATCTCTATTAAATTAAAAATATCCATATCTGCTACAAAAATTACAAACGAGTTTCCTTCCTTCCTTCCTTCCTTCCTTCCTTCCTTCCTTCCTTCCTTCCTTCCCTCCCTCCCTCCTTCCTTCCTTTTTGAATGCAGAAAAAAATTAAAGGCAGGAAGATTGAGATATTGAGACTAAATGGCATGAGTTTCCCTATCAGTTTCCCTTTTAGTGATCTTACATTCCAACCTCCCTCCGCCTATTCATCACTTTCCAACCCTGGTATTTCAACGGATTTCTTTCTTCTTCAGTTTGGCTCTAGAATCAGTCCTTTAAAGTCATAAATTCTGGAATTGGAGTGTTAGAGACAAATTGAGGTAACTCTCCCATTTCACAAGTGAATGTGAGATACAAAGGTAAATGACCTATCTGAGGTCATATAAACTAGATGACAATAGAGTTGGGAAATGGATCCAAG